CATCAGGTCCTTAAGCAAACACTATGATGACCTCCTGGCACTCCTTGAGTCACTAAAGACACCCTTCTCCTGCATTATTCTTACTGAGACCTGGCTTAAGCAGGACACAATTGATATCTACCCACTACCAGGATACACAGCAATCCACAACTGCAGACCATACCAAGTTGGGGTGGTACTGCAATCTATTACTCTAACCAACTACATGTATCTTGTATTAGCACTAATTGCTTTAGTGATGAATATGGGGAATACATTTTTGCTAATTTTACTGTAAAAAACCTCAAGACGCCTATAACAATCGGTGCCATATACCGGATACCCCACATAAACATCCCAAACTTCAGTGAGAATCTAAAGTCACTAATAACAAACAGACAAATGAACAAGCACCACCTTCTCTTAGCTGGAGATTTCAGTATCAACCTTGGCCTACCAGACGATCAAACTGTAACTGATTTCATCAACAATATGAACAATGCACTTCTCATACCATTATTATTATTATAATAAAAAAAAGTGCTAAGCCAACTTCTCATACCAACAATAACTAACTGACTAGCTGACTGAGACAAGTGCAACCATAATAGACCACATATGGACCAATATACTAGCCCCCCTTAAATCAGGGATAATCAGACAGCACTAGTGACCACTACCCAACCTTCCTCTTAACAAGCATTAGTAAGTCACCACTCGAATACAACAAAGTTTCATTTAGACTCCATGACGAGGCCTCAATAAGGAATTTCGCAGCAGACCTAGAGACTGTTGACTGGCCTACAGAATTCTCCAATGCCAATGGTACTGACGATTGGACAGACATTTTTCTTAACAAAATACTTAGACCATACAACAAACATTGTCCTATAAAAATGAAACAGATCACGAATAAACGGCTTGGTTGCCCATGGCTAACCAGCAGCATTCTGAAATCCATTGATAAGAAACATCAATATGAAAAGCAATATAGACAGGGCTTAATATACAAAGATATTCTTAAACAATATTCAACAGTTCTCACCAAATTAATAAAGAAAGCCAAACAACTGTACTACTCCAGCAGATTCACTGACACAAGAGGAAATACAAAAAAGACCTGGAAAACACTTCCCCAGATTCTGGGGACCCACAAACTGAAAAAAAACAAGAATATTGTTCTAACTAAACCTCATGAAACACCACTGCATCCCACTGATACAGCTAACAAGATAAATGACTTCTTCTCAAACATAGGATCTAATCTCACCAGTAAAATCCCACGTACCAATGCTCGTGCTGGGGACTACCTAGATGGGAATTTCCCAAATTCCTTCTATCTTGTACCGAGCCCACGGAAGTCACTGCGATCATAAAGTCACTTAAAAACAACTCAGGGAATCTGTCTCACGTCCCATCATTTTTGTACAAGCGAGCGGCCCATGTCCTTTCGCATGCTATTACATTACTTTTTAACAAGTCACTAGAAACTAGCACTTTCCCGACACTACTCGAGACAGCAAGGGTTACACCAATACATAAAGGTGGTGACCCTACAGACGTAAACAACTATAAGCCAATATCAAACTTACCATTGCTATTCAAAATCTTCGAGAAACTCGTGCACAGGAGACTATATTCATTTATAACGTCACAAAACATACTCGACCCCTGCCAATTTGGATTTAGGAAAAATAAAAGCACTAATGATGCAATTATAAAAATGCTAGACCTGCTTTACACAGCATTGGATTATTATTATTATTATTGTAATCAAGGGGAAGCGCTAAACCCGGAGGATTATACAGCGCCTGGATGGGGGATGTGGAAGGCATTCAGGCTTAATTCGGGGAACTGGAGCATAGATCCAATTTCCTAAATCAAGAGCCCCTCACCAACATCAAGGAACCTTCCTTGAGGGGACACAGCATTGGAAAATAAGGAATATCCGCTAGGAATTTTTATTGACCTAAGAAAAGCGTTTGACACAGTAGACCACGGCATCCTACTCCACAAACTCGACCACTATGGGATAAGAGGCCATGCGCTTGCATATTTTATATCCTACCTTTCTAATAGGTATCAGTATGTCACCATTAAAGACAGCCTCATCAATACAGCCACTTCATACTGGAGTTCCGCAGGTAAGTGTCCCTGGACCCCTGCTCTTCCTCATTTACATCAATGATCTTCCAAACATATCCTAACACCTGAAACCCATTCTCTCTGCTGATGACACGACTTATGTCATCTCCCACCCTAATCTTGCCACCCTCAACACTATTGTTAACGAGGAGCTGCTCAAAATATCGACTTGGATGGCAGCCAATAAACTTACACTTAACACTGGCAAAACCTACTATATTATGTTTGGTAGAAGAGCAGGTGTTGCGCAACTTATTAAGATCGACAACACTCTAATTACCAGACATAATGAGGGCAAATTCTTTGGCCTATACCTCGACAACAACCTAAATTTCAGCACCCATATCCAACACATAACAAAAAAAGTATCCAAAACGGTGGGGATTCTCTCCAAGATACGATACTACATACTGCAAACCGCCCTTCTCACACTATACCATTCACTTATATATCCATACCTTTACCTATGCTATCTGTGCTTGGGGTTCAACTGCAGCAACACACCTAAAGCCAATAATAACCCAACAAAAAGCCGCAGTAAGAATAATCACTAAATCCCATCCCTGGCAACAACCCCCCCCCCCCACTCTTCATAGATCTAAACTTACTCCCTGTTCAGAACATCCACACTTACTACTGTGCAATCTATATCTAAAAGGACCTTAAATTCCAATATTAACCTTGACCTAAAACACTTTCTTGATAGTTGACAGGATCCACAGCCATAACACCAGACACAAACATCTCTATGACATTCCCCATGTTCAACTAAACCTTTACTAAAATTCAATGTATTTCAAAGGACCTAAAATCTGGAACACCCTACCTGAAAACTCTAGAACTGCAGACACATTCATCACTTTCAAAACTACAGTTAGAAAACATCTTATCTCCCTGAACAACCCGACAACTAACTACATGATAACCACCTGGTGGTTCAAAATTACACTCACTCACCCACTGACTATAAACCCAGAAATACTAATCTTACAATAATAAATCCTAACTAGTCATAAGTTTGCCTATGATACTCAAATATAGACACCTTGTATTGTGCCAAAACAAAAGCATTCACATTGCTAAACTCACAAATTATGTAGTCACTTAGCCTTAATACCATAATCTGTAAGGATTTAATGTTAAGAATTAATCTAAGTCTGCTGGAAATGCCTAGCCATGCTAGGTGTCCTAGTGGCTCCCTCTGTAATTAGTATTTTATAACATGTAAACCACAAAATACCCAAAACCTGTAAACTTCACATTGTAACCATTATAGAGAATTAACTTGAATTGAATTGAATTAAATTCAAGCTCAATGTAGGGAACTGGAGCACAGATCCAATTCCCTATTATCATAAGGGAGTGCTAAACCCGTAGGATTATACAGCACATGTGGGGGAGGTATGGAAAGTATTCAGGCTCAATTCAGGGAACTGGAACACAGATCCAATTCCCTAGATTAAGAGCCCCTCACCAGCATCAAGGAACCTCCCTTGAGGGGCCCCATTTTTAGATACTTTGAGGTAAAGATGTAATGCAGCTTGGTTAAATTCCCATGATTGAGCACATCAGAGGATAATGGTTGTATTTTCATCAGAGGGTTTTTTTTTTTTTGTTAGGAGTAACTAAGGATAAAGATTTAGGTATACTTTGGATTATAATCAATACTAAGCACTAAACCCACAAGGGTAAAATAGCAGGTATACTTTGGAATTCTCTGGGAGAAGAGAGGATTATTGAGTGACATGGTTTTTCCTTCTGTTGGTACAGGTAGAGGATTGCTGGTAATATGTGCTTGAGGTTGATGACAGTAACATGTAGACAATGTTGATTATTAGATTGCTTACATGACTCACGAAATCGTAATGACACGATTGCAAACAAACCATACCAAGGGCGGGATTTGAACCCGCGGTCAGAGACTCTGACTGCGGGTTCAAATCCTGCCCGTGGTATGGTTCGATTGCTTACAGTTTGCACAGCTTCTGAAAGGATGTTTGTAGTTAGAAGCGAGATAGTGTAGATCTCCGTACCTTATGCCACAGGCACAGGTCAACAAGCTTCTTCCCACTATATCCCACAACCACCCCCTCCATTCAGTGCATGGAATCTATGCCACAAACTCTCAGACACTGGCCTTCTACCCTCAAACACCTCATACTGCACATACTCAAGCTATAACCACAACCTGGCCAACTTATTTTTTTAAGTCCAGGAGTGGAGAATCATCCTCCAGCAACCAACTTTTCAACAATCCCTACCTCTTCCACAACGACCTCCTCATAAACATTCAGCTGTCACAAGCTATTTGTCTGATCACTACCATTATACAACCAGCTATGATCTTTGCTAAGGGCACATACATCTTGAAGAATCCTCATTAATATGCTCACTGCCTACAGTTCCCCCCTTTATCCATCCATCCCTTCCTCTCCGAGTGATACTGTAGAGAACAATCCACTTGATTAGATTTCTCTATTAAACCACGCACATGCAGTCCATCATTAAAAAAAAAAAGTTTCGCATTCCAGTCCCCGACCTCTATCCGAGTTGGTAGGGCTTTGATTTAAGAATTATCTGTGCTCCAGTTCCGATTAATTGACAGTTGAAACCTCACATGCACTCCCATCTTATAAAAAAAAAATTTCAGAATTCACAGTCCCCGATTCGAGGTCACAGATTCTTACTACTATACAATCTACGACCCGAAGTCGAGGCCATGACTATTTGAACATTGATACAACTCTAAAGATGCTCTTAATGATCCATTGACTAGGTTTATATGATTTAACCCATGACAAGTAATTTTCCCCAGCAAATAAGCAAATTTACATTGTGTAGACAGATTTTTTTTTAACATGTTATGATGTTGACAGGAACTAGAGAGGATCAGACGAGAGGTTGGCCGGAACACTGGACGCTGGGCAGAACTTGACTTATTTAGTGTGACCTTTTCCCCTGTTTTGAAAAATTAGGTTTCACAATTGAAAGTTTGGTTTAAATTTTGCTGGTGGAGAAAGAAAAGGAGTAAGTTTTTTTAAATTGTTTGTTCTTATTCATTAGAAATACTTTTTAACCCTGGGAAAGTTGGAAAACAGTTGTGGGTTTGCATTTGGTAAGGCCCCAAAACCCGGAAATAAGCCATACTACTAGGTTTTTCATAAATGACCCAAACTCTTAGGAATTTTCTAGGTGGGTTTTGGTCAGGAGGGCCCAAAAATGTTACAAAGGGCCCAAATACTAGCTTTATACAAAAATTTTCCAAACATTGAAATAAAGGGGGAAACATTAAAAAAAAGAATGAAAAAGAAATCAGGTTTGCCCAAAAGGAAAGGGGAATCCAGATTCCATGAAGTGCTATAAAAAAAAAAAAAAAACTTTTGTACATTAATCAAAATTTTTGTACAAAAAAAAATGAAAAAAGGGGGATTTTTTAAGAAAAATTTCCCTGTGATAAAAGTACTTTGTAAAAATGTGTTTTTTGAAACCCCCCCCGTCATGAATATTTTGTTTCTTATACAGCTTATTATATTTGTATTCAATGGAAATTTTGCTAAACCCATGTGGAAAAGACACAGCGGGGGTTTGGGAAAGCATTCGGGTTTAAACCCAAAGGAGGGTAAATCAAATTTTTGGGGCCCAAAAAAACCCCTTCACTAGCTTTTTTTTTTTTTCAACTAAAATTTCTTGGTTTTAAAAGAAAAGCAAACAAACATCAAGGCATTTTACATGAAGGGACAAATTATTATTTTAAAAAAATCATGGAAAAAAAAATTGCAAATTTTTTTAATACTAATTTGCTTTTACTAATTTAAAGAAAATTAAGAGCAAACATTAACCCCTTTTTCCTTTTTAGGGGCGAAGGCCCTCTCGGGACTTTTTTCAGGGTTTGGCCAAATTTAACCCCTTTTAGGGTCCAAAGGCCCCCAAACTGGAGTTTAGCACCCGTGTCCAAAAAATTTTCAAAAAAAAAAATTTTTTTTTTTTCTTATGAAATCGTTTGGGGAATTTTTTTTGTGAAGGGAATAAAAAAAAAAGTACGAATTTGGTGGAAAATTTTAAAGAAATTTGGGGCCCCGCGGGAAATTTTTATGTGTCAGCGATATTTACGAATTTGGCGATTTTGCGACTTTGACTCCCCTTTTAGGCCAATTTCATTATTCCAATCAACCCAAAAAAATTTTTGCTATTTCCCCCTAGTATTTTTCTTAAATTTTACGATTTTGGGACAAAAAATTGCCCGTTTAATGTTTAACTACAAAATAAAATGTTTTGGAAAAAATTTTCAATTTGGCCAAAATTTTAAACAAAGTTCAAAAAATTTCAATTTCAAAAATTTTGGGCCAGATAAAAAATGTAGGCATTCCTGGCACTAAACTAACTTTTTTCTTTTTCGTTTTTTTTTTTTTTGAGGGTTTACAAATAAATTCCATTTTTATTTTTTTTTTAACCCTTAAAGAATTTTTTTTTACACCCAAAAAAAAGAAAATTTATTTATGATACTGTAATTTAAATTGTATTAATATCTTCACCATTTTTTGTGAAAGTATATTTTGACCCCCAACTGACGTGTATTAGATGGGGTTTTAGGTGTTTTTTTACTCTTGAATATCGGGAAAAATTTTTAAAATTTCCCCTATTTTTTAGCTCAGTTTTTAAGCCCTTTTTCCCGTGCCAAAAACCCCAAACAAAATCATCTCTATTTCTGGTTTTTATGTCCTTTTCCCTTCTATCAAATTGAGGGCCAAGAAAAACGGGAAATACAAAAAAAATAAATTTAAAAAACATACGAAAAAACACTGCAAAGTTGCTGTTTTTAATCGAAAAATCATGATTTCAGTTTTTTTCTCTCATTATACACAGTCTGCTGCAGGATCTGTTTTATGTGGTGCACACATACCACATAGATGTATTCTCTCATATCTAGGCCCAAATGTACCACTCACAGTTTATCAGAGTGAGCTGAGCTCATGGCGTAGATCTACGGTTTGGACACTCACCGTAAAGCCGTAGATCTACGGGACGGACCCTGAAAGGGTTAAAAAAAAAAAAAAAAAAAAAAATTATTTTTTTCTTATGAAAAGATAGAGAATCTTTTCCTGATCATAATGACACCAAAAGTATGAAATTTGATGGAAAACTTACGGAATTATGCTCTCGAGAAGTTAGCGGTCTCGACGATGTTTACGCATCGGCGATTTTGCCCACTTTGAGCCCTATTTTCGGCCAATTCAGTGTACTTGTCGACAAAAATCATAACTATTTTGCTAGAACTCCATTTTTTTCTATCGAATGAGTACAAGAAACCACCCATTTACCGATTTCAACTATCCAATACAGTGGTCAGAATTTAGCAATTTTGCCAATTTCACACAAATTTCAAAACATGCCAATTTCCGAATAGGGTCCAGAATAAACAAGAAAGACATTCCTGGCACTAAAATAATATTTCCTCTGTTCTTTAGTCACGTTCCCATGCCTCTCTTACATTCTTTTGCTTTCCACTTTGAATTTTGATTCTCACAAAAAAATAGAAGATTTACTGTTATGCAGACTACTGCATTGGTGTAGAAATGGTATAAATAATATCAGCACACTTGTGAAAGAATATTAGACTCACCAGTTGACATATATTAGATGCATAGCATGATTTGTTTACTTTTGAACTTTGGTAAAAATCAAACATTTCTGCTAGAGCTCAATTTCAAGGTACTTTTCTTTGTAAAACCAGTCAAAATCATCTCAATTTCTGTAATATCTCTTCCATTCTATAAAATGAGACCAGGAAAACTAGAATACAACAATAAATACCGTACGAAAATGCAGTGCAAAGTCGCTGTTTTAATCCAAAAACACGGTCAAAGTTTTTTTTTCTCATTACGCACTGTGTGCTGCAGGATTTTTTTTTATACCGCGCACGCTGACCACATAGACCCATTCTTTCATATGTAGGCCTACCAGCTTTCTCTCACTAGATTTGAGGGCACTAGAATTTAGGCGTACTAGTACGTCAAAAACCCTGGCTTGTAAGCCGTACTAGTACGGCCGAAACCCTGAAAGGGTTAAATTGTCCAAACGTAGATCTACGTTTGCACGCGTAGCACTCCAGCCTTGATTTTCTCCATAAGAAACAATGTAAAAAAAACATAGATCTACGTTCAGAGCACTACACAAGCAAATGTAGATCTATGTTTGGATAGTTTAAGGGTTAATTAATGACAATCACAAACATTAATTTGAAACTGTGGAATTGAAGCCTTAGACAGGTTTATAACTGGTCAGGATATTCTGTGGACTGAAATAAGTTTCCTGAAACAAGAAAGGTATGCACATACTGTAACAGTACAGAAAAAACATGATTGAAGCCACTACACTTTTGATGTCTACAATCCAAGGTACGCAGTCAAAGGGAAAGATCACTACATTGTCGATATTCAGAAACTAATACTTCGGAGCGTATTCTTCTATACAGGTCAACCAGGTTGTGTTCGAACTGAGAAAGTTCAATGTACCGAATTGTACCAGCCTTTCTCCTCACTTTACGTCAGAGTTCTGTTTCCTAGACCACGTCGGTATAACGAATTCGTTGCTAAGTGAGGTGGCACATTGTAATGGTATAGTGGGTTTATGTCAATCATCTTTGATATTGTTTAAGTCAATCTTGCACCATTTATACATTTTTTAGTATATTTTTATATGTTTATACAGTAGTTGTACTGTTATACTGTATTAACAGAACAGAGGAAATCAGCTTTACCTTTGAGGGTTTTCGTTCGTACGAGTTACGTCTTACGCGTAGAGGGTTTTTGACGTTTAGTACTCAATAAATTCTAGCGGCCTCAAATCTAGTGGAGAAAGCTGGTAGGCCTTATATGAAAGAATGGGGTCTATGTGGTCAGTGTGCACAGTTCTAAAAAAAATCCTGCAGCACAAGTGCATAATGAGAAAAAATAAAACTTTGACCATTTTTGTTTAATAAATCAGCGACTTTTGCTGTGTATTTTCGTCTGTATGGTATGTTATTGTTGTATCTAGTTTTATTGGTATCATTTTATAGAATGGAAAGAACATATTACTGAAATTGAGATGATTTTGACAGGGTTTTCAAGAAAAGTGCCTTGAAATGAGCTCAATGTAGCTGAAATGTTCGTTTTTTACCAAACTTCAAAGTAAACAAATAGTGCCAAGCGAGCAATACACGTCAAACTGGTGAGTCTAATATTCTTTAACAAGTGACAATAATATTTATACCATTTTTACACTAATGCAGTAGTCTGCATATCAGTAAATCTTATATTTTTTGTGAGAATAAAAATTTCAAAGTGGAAAGCAAAAGAATATAAGAGGGTCCTTGAGACGTGACTAATGACTAGAGGTAATGTCATTTTAGTGCAGGAATGTCTTTCTTGTTTATTTGGAACCCTAATCCGGAAATGGCATCTTTTGAAGTTTGTGTGAAATTGGCAAAATTGCTAAAATTCTGACCACTGTACTGCGATAGTTGATTTTATAAATGGGTGGTTTTTGCACCCATTCGATAGAAAAATGGAGTTGTTCTAGCGATAGATTATGTTTTTTGTCGACCTAGTACAGTGAAATTGGACTGACTGGAAATGGGGCATCAATGTGGGCAAAATCGCCGTTGCGTAAAAACATCGCTGAGAACGATACTTTGCGAGATGCATTATTTCCAGTAAGTTTTTCTATCAAAATTTCAAACTTTTGGTGTCGTTATATGATCGGGGAAAAGATGCTCTATCTTTTCATAGGAGAGAAAAAATAATTTTTTTTTTTTTTTTTTAAATTTGGACGACCCTGAGAACGAGTTTCGGACGAGGGCCTTGTCGACCTCAAAGGGTTATATACATAATTAGGTATGCATTTGGTCAGAGAGCCCGTTGCAAAGCTGAGTCATCAGTAATATGAGTACGTGATAAGTGAGAGTAGCCTGTTGTATCCCCATTGAAATACTGTA